GGTCTCATGTATGCTCAAGCTTCACTCAGTATGATACTCAGTCCACTTCCTGTTGCCTGCAAGATGTAGGACTCTCAGCTACTTCTCCAGCACCATGTCTACCTGCTTGCTACCATGTCCCATCATGACGATAATGGACTGGACCTCTGAACTGTAAGCCAGCCACCCCAATGAGATGTTTTCCTTTATAAGAGTTGCTGTGGTCATGGTGTCTCTTCACAGCAATGAAACCCTATGACAGACTCCCAAGGATTCAGAGCCCTCTGATAATCTGTCTGTGGGATTTTGGTCAAAATCTACACTGTCTCTGAGAACCAAGACGTCTCAAGTGGATAAGGAATGCAGTTACAAAGAGGAAAAGCTCAAGGCTTTGCAGGTCCCAGAGGCAAGCCCAAAGCCTCCCTCAAGGACCTCCACCTTAACTCAAACATGCACACTCAGGAACAGCAGCAGCAAGAGCAGGGCCAGAAACAGAGTCACAAGGGTTGGAGAGATGGCTCAGCGGTTAAGGGCACAGGCTGTTCTAGCTGACTGAGGTTCAGTTTCCAACCTGGTGGCTCATGACCGTCTGTTACTCTAGTTCCAAGAGACCTGACGCCCTCTGCTGGCCACCATAGGCACTGCATGTGGCCAAACATCCACAAAATAAAAACATGTAAAACCTCAAAAATAAAAAAAATTTAATCGAGGACCGGAGGGATGGAGTCACAGCTAGGTGTGGTGGAGCAGGGTGGCAATCCCAGCACTAAAGAGGCAGCAGCAAGAGGATCATCTTGAGGCTAATCTGGTTTATATAGAAAGTTCCGAGGCATCAGGACTGCATAGTGGGGCCCTGACCCAAAGAGCAAAAGAGGGAAAAAAAAAAGAGAGGGAAAAGGGAAAAGGCAAAATGAAGAAGAGGAGGGAGAAGAAAGAAAGAAAAGCTTGAAGAAGACGCTGAAATGTAAAAGAACTGTGTTCAATGAAATAGAAATATAAAGCAGAAACATTTGAAAAGGGCCTAAATAGAGTAACTTCTAGAAACAATTTTAAAAAAAGTGACATTGAAAGGGGAAGCTAAAGACTAGGCCTGCCTGAGGAGGAATTAGCAACTGAAAGACGAGCCAAGGAGCTTTCCAGAACAGTCTAGAAAGACTGAGACAGAAATCGGAAAAAGCAAAACAGAAACCTGGCTATTCCTCCAAAAGGGTGAAGCATGGTTTTAATGCGACATTCATAGCAACGACTGACGCCTTTGTAGAACTGTTAACCGTTAAAAGTCTTCAGGCCCAAGAAGTCAGGGATGGCAGAAAGTCAGCAGTCACCAGCGGCCCCGTGTGCTGCCCCGTTTCTTAGACTTGCTGGAAGTCAGGTCGGAGTCAGGTGATTATTTCCAGGTAAGGCTCAAAGGCCAGGATGGTTCAAAGCTACAGTGCCTGGAAATTACAGTACATTTTCTTCACATTTATAATTTTTATTTATTCTGTGTGTGTGTGTGTGTGTGTGTGTGTGTGTGTGTGTGTGTGTGTGTGTGATAGTGCTTGTATAGAGGTTATACAACAACTAGTAGGAATTGGTGTGCGCCTCCCACCATGTGAATCCTGGGGATCGAACTCAGGTCGTCAAGCTTGGCTGCAGGTGCCTTCACCTGGGGAGCCAAGAGTGCAATTCAGAGAGATGTTTTCCACACTCAGAACTCAGCCAGCTCACCTCTTTGGGGCAATTGTTTTGGGTCAAAGGGCACAATCTTGCCTTCATTATGGTCCCTTCTCAGGATCAGCCCACCCCCACCTACCAAGGATTCAAAGTCTGGACCTACTTTTTTCATTCGGGGCAGTTCTGAACAGTGAACTGTTCATGGCAGAGCCCTTGTGTGATGGGCATGTGATGGGCTTGTGTGATGGGGAGAGCCCCTGATACCAGGGCTCCTCCCCCACCCTGCCATCCTCACTTCTCAGGGGCTCTGTTTCTGAGAAGGCACCCCAGTGAACTTCCTACACACCAATTTCTATCTCAGAGCTTGTTTCTGGGAAACCCTCCTGAAGATGCTGTCCTCTCTTTTCCCCTCTGTGGTGACCTTGGAGGCCACCTGTCCCAGATGGTGCAGCTAGGAGATGACAGATCTTCCACCTGCTTGCATTTCCCAGTGACAGCTACGTCATTTGAAGGGAAAGAAATCTTTGACCCCTCAAGTCGCTGAGGTATCTGGGGTCCCAGGAGCCCAGCTGACCTCAAATTCACTATGTAGCCAAGGATGCCTGCGAGGTTCTGATCTTCCTGCCTCTACCTCATGAGTGCTGAGAGTATAGGCACATGGTCCTGGGACTTGAACCTGGCACGTTTTTGCATGCTCGACAAGTACTCTGTCAGTTGAGCTACATTCCCAGTCAATCCTGGGTAACTTTTAACCTGTTTGCCTACCCCTTGTGCCTAGGACAGCTGTTCATAAAACAGCTGAAGTGATCTCTAAACCAGCAGACAGAGAAACATGCCTCTAAGTAGAGGGGGAAACAGAACGTGAAAAGGGAATAAGGAAGCTAAGACTGTGACGCTCTATCCCAAGCAACTGCAGTGGAAGGCAGAAGCAGAGAAAAGAGATTCACACGAGACAGTTGGAACCGATGCAAATCCCTCTGTAACACATCACCCTAAACATTAACGGAGCGCACGGAGCAGTGAGAAGAGACATGTGCCGCCAAGATAAACCCCCAACCACGAGCTGTTTACACAAGGCACAGTTAAAACGCAATGACAGGAAGGGTGGAAAAGCAGAGGAAGACAAGAGACGACTCAAAAAAAAAATAGTAATAAAAACGGTGAACCTGGGTTGTAGCACCAGATGGGACCTGAGACGGCAGAGCAGTCTGAATAAAGTCACTGAAAAATCATCCTTTTCTTCACCAGGGAGCTACATGAGGTGCCAAGGTTATACCTAGGGGACACTGAAATTTTTTATTTCATTTATTTTATGTGTGTGTGTGTATGTGTGTGTGTATGTGTGTTCATCTGTGCACATCTGCATGCAGATGTGTGCACGTGTGTATGGAAGCCAGAGGACAATCTCCAGGGTGTCATCTGTCAGTCTTCCTCAGGGGCCATCCATCTTGTTTTTTTGAGACAGAGTCACTCATTGGCCTGTGCAGACTAGGCTAGGCTGGCTGGCCAGTGAGCCCCAGGGATCCATATCTGTCCCTGTCTCCCATGCTGGGGTTACAAGCTTTCACCAGTGTTTTTACTTGGGTTCTGGGATTTGAACTCATGTCCTCAGGCTCGCACAACAAGCAGCACCTTGCCACTCCTTATCCCCCAGGCCCAAAACTCATCTTGTCTCTCTCCCGATCCCTTCCTTCCTTGAGAGGAAGTGACAGATTTCTCCCCTGAGCTGCTTTACAAAGTACTCAGGAGTGTTCTGAGAGTCCCCCGAGCTTCAGAGGAGCCCACTTAGGAGAGTTTGCCTGCAAGTCTCCTCTGAGTCCCGTAGAGAAACATCTTGCATGCAGGAAGAAGTCAATAGAAATGTCATGAATGAATAAATGCAAGACTTACCCTATCACTAGTCACAGCCACTGATGTGTGAGCGGCGAGGGCAGTGGGCTGCCCTGTGAGACCAGAGCCCTGCTGAAGGACCTCCTTCAGAACTTCCAGCTTTCCTCATCTCGTCCCACAGCTGCTCTGTACTGCGTATGATTCTGCCCGGTGCCGTCTCCCTAGCATCCCCTAGCTCTAGACCTCCAGATTAGAGCCTGTCAGGTATCTCCGCTCAGTGTCCTGCTGGTGATGTTGAGCTTGGTTAGATATTGCAAGACATCAGTGTGGGGCAATCAGCTAAGCAGAAAGGGGCTCTCCTCTCCATATGGAATGTCCCACCACAAAATAGCACCGACTCTAATTCAGTCCTGCAGGAAGGAAACCTGACCCAGAGCCAGGGGTATAGTCTTGCGCTTTCTCTATAAAGCAAGACTATAGAGGTACACAAGTTTGGTATAGCATGTAACCAAAATCTCAAGGTGTATGGAAGCAGGGTGTCTGTGAGTACCATGTATGTCAGGATGGCTCCCTAATCCCAGGAATCCACAGAAAGGAGACAAGAAAAACTATTAAGCAAGCCCTTCCCTGTTGCGGGATATTTGATCACACTGTGTGAAGATGTATCGCTGTTTTACCTCCCCTGCCTAAGACACCTTCTGATTGGTTTAATAAAGAGCCGAATGGCCAAAAGCTAGGCAGGAAAGGATAGGCGGGTCTTCAGGGTAGAGACAGGAACTCTGAGAAGAATCTGAGAGGTGGGGGATTCGTCAGCCAGACACAGAAGTCAGACTGCTGTACTGAGGAGAGGTAACAAAGCCACGTGGCAAAATGCAGATTAATATAAACGGGTTAATTTAAATTTTAAGAGCTAGTTAGAAATGAGCCTACGCTAAGGCCAAGCTTTCATAATTAGTAAGAAGTCTCCGTGTCATTATTTGGGAGCTAGCAGTCCAAAGAAAGACCTGTTACACTTCCCCATTGCCCAACCCCATGCCTGGCCTGGCCTTCCTGCAAGTGTGGAGGCTGGAGCTGGGAATGATGGTGTAGCCTATAATCCCTGCCCATGGGAGGACAGAGCAGGAGGATTGTGAGTTGGAGGCAAGATTGTCTCAAATGAAACAGAGGTATGGAAAGCAAGGGAGAGAGAGAACATATGTGCAGAGCCATACTGAGGTGACTGCTCCATGGCCTGCTTTGAAGCACCACAGTAGGCCCTAACCAGCCTTCTACCCAGCACCTTCTACTACTTTCCCTGGCTAGCCCAAATCTGAGGTCTAAGGACTGTGCTTCTGGATGCCACACAGATGTTGCATTGAAGGACTACCCTTTCCCAGCCTGGTGCATGGGTGTGGCGAGGGGGTCCTGATTTCTGCAGGAGGGTCAGAGGACAGCCTTAAAGAGAAGAGGCCTGTGAAAAGCACCCTGAGCTCCCCGATGGCAGAGGCCGATCCCCTGAAGACCCTGCAGCTCAGCCATGCAACAAAAGCACGTACCTGTGGCACCTGGTCTATGCGGAGCAGCCTGGGGAGCTTCCGGCTCAGCATCTTGACACCTGGCTGGACGAGGCAGTCGGGGTCACTCCAGCCTCCCAGTAGGTTCCACTCAGACTTGCGGCATACCAGGGATATCTGGGTGGCTTCCCTGAAAGAGGATAGCAGGAAGAAATCAGAGCAGACGCCACCTAACTCCAACTGGATCGGGTCTCTGGTGGCTCAACTATTGGACATTTGCTTTAGAATGATAGCCAAAAAAAAGCCAAGATTCCCACGGCTGGGCAACGTAGCTCCATTGGTAGAGTGCTTGCCTGGCACACATGAGGTCCTGGGTTCCATCCCCAGCACTGCATCAATCCTAGCCCTGAGGAGGTGGAGGCAGGGGGATCAGGAGGTCAAGGTCATCCTCATCTCTTGGCCAACCTGGACTACTTGAGACCCTGTCCCAAAACAAAAGCAAATATTTCTTTAAAGCAGCGATTCAGACTGCTTTCGTCCCTCACTCAGAGAATGCTCACAGGTAAGCAATTAGATCCTCCAGTGGCTGATTACCGCAATATGAAAGTTTTGACCTTCAAAATCCGTATGCTAGAATTTCATCCCCTGTGTGGTATGAAGTAAGGCCTTTGGGAGGTAATGGGGTCATGAGGGTCTCATTCTTTTGAATGGGATTAGTAATCTTATCATGAAAGAGGCCTGAGGGAGCTTTCTTGACACTGGGCCCTGGGAGGACACCAGGAGAAGGAGGCATCCGTGAAGAAGAAAGAGTCTTGGTATGCTGCCATCCTGATCTTGGACTTCTTGGCCTCCAGAACTGGAAGCAATACATTTTCATTGTTTATAAACTACCCAATCTAAGGTATTTTGCTATAGCAGAATGAGCTAGATTGTGGTAGGAAACCGTAGGGCTATAAAGGACCTGAGGCCACCCACTCTGAGAGGCAAGCAATGCTTTCCCCAGAGTTGCTGGACTAGGAAGAGCTGAGGCTACCCACTCTGTACTCCACCATAGGCTTTCCTAGGTAGGCAGAGCAATCTCAAGCCTGTGCTACCCCAGGGGACATGAGGAGACAACGGGGGGCAGTAGATGGTTCAGAGGGTAAAGCTGTTTGCCTCCATGCCTGAAGACCCAAGTTCTATCCCCAGGACCCCCCAGAGATAAAACAAAACGGATCTCCTATAGGTTGCCCTCTACTCTTGTCCTGTGGCACCCATGCGTTTACACACACACTTGCAAAAGCACACGTAGACACAATAAATAAACTACACACATTTTAATACAAAATTTAAAAGAGGCCAAAGAACTATGCTCTAGCTCAAAGAATTGGCTCTTCCAGAGCGCTGACCACAGCCCTGTCATATGAAAGAACCAAGCCAGGCAAAAATCCAAGGAGCTTCTTGGAGACAGAGCAACTTGGAGTAAATAATAAAGTTGATCAAACACAGGATTAAGACTGTTTAGTAACTGTAAATAATATGAACTGCAGACATCTAAAGTTCCCAGACAGGCCCACAAAGCAAAAAAAAATGCTGCTTTAGCACAGAGAGGACAAAGCTAGGGACTGACCACAGCAGAGTTCTTCTCTCTGCCATCGTCCCTGGACCAAAGCCTGCTGCCTCCTTGGAGCCCCCTTCTTGTCCCCATCAACATAGGGGAGTCCTTCCCTGCCTCTGAGGGCCCAGGGACCTTTCCTAACCTCCCTGGATCACCAGTCACATTCCTCCTGGGACCTCTGTGGCTGGCCGGACACTCTGATATGAGCGCGTGCACATGCACATGCGCGCACACACACACACACACACACACACACACACACACACACACATAAAAATAAAGAAAGGCAGTTGGGGAAGAGGTGCAGCAACCTCTGGCCTCCACATGCACACACATGAGCACATACACCACACACGAATAACATAATTGACTTTAATGAAAAGGAATTGCATCCTAACACAAAGCACCAAGACTGAATTTCTCCTGAGCACTGGGAGTGATGGGAAACAGAATGTTTGTGATGTGCGTAGCCTGGGCAGCAAGCAGGGGGCCACTCCTGCCAACTCAGCAAGCTGAGGCAAACTCCCAGATAAGACAGAACTTGACTGACCTGTTTCAAAAGTGCAAGGCTTCTGCTGTTGTATTCTTACAGCACTCAAAGTAACAATGCCTTTCCTATGATTAGTTGTCAGCCAACATCTAAAATGCCTATCTTTATTTGTCAACAATTGCAGAAGACCAGTGGCTGATGGCGGGGAATTGTGGCACACTGCCGATCTTAAGCCTTTCAGACATCACTGAGCCTAGAATGAACTCCTTGATCCTTTCAGTTCCATCTGCTGGGAAACAAGCTCTTTGCTCCACAGACACTAGAAAAACCAGGATCGCCAACATTGCAGCTTGGGCTGCTGTGTCTTTGTGCAGAGGTCTAGAGACAAGCTTGAACCAAACCAAAGGGCTTCTGTTCTACTTTTAATTCTGTTGCTGTGGTAAAGCACTCTTATTTAAAAAAAAAAAAAAAAAAAAAAAGCGGCGGTGGGGGGGGCAACCTAGGGGACAAAGGGTTTATTTTAGCTAAAATTTCCAGGCTATAGGTCTATCACTGCAAGGAAGTCACAGAGGCAGGAGTTTGAGAGAGCTGATCACATGACCTCCACAGTCACCAACAGAAATGAGCTCACTTGATTGTGGTCAGCTCACTTTTTTCATTCCTATGCAATTCAGGAACCCTTGCCTAGGGAATGATGTCACCCACAGTGGCTTCATTTTCTCACATCAATTAATTTAAGATAATCTTGCACAAACATTCTCAAAAGCCAACCCCATGTTGACAATCCCTCCTTTAGGACTCTCAAGCTGTGTCAAGTTGATAATTAAGCTAACCACCACAGTTTCTAAGATGAAATCCAAACACAGCAGAAAGATACAGCTTATTAATGCTTCATCTAAGACTTCATCTTACAGAAGTTTCTATGGCTTTTAATAACAAAAGGGCTAGGGATGTTTCTCCACTGGCAGAGTCCTTGCTGAGCATGTAGGAAGCTCTGGGTTTGATGCTGGGCATAACATAAAACCACGTATAGTGGTGCACACTTGTAACACCAGTGCTCGGCAGGTAGAGACAGGAAGATAAGTTCAAAGTCAGCCCTGAGGCAGATGCAGGCAGATCTCTCTGAGTTTGAGGCCAGCCTGGTCCACAAAGTGAGCTCCAGGGCAGCCAGGACTACTCAGAGAAACCGTGTCTTGAAAAACAAAACAAACAACCAAGTTCAAGCTTGCCTATACAGAGAGTCCCAGGGCGGCAGCCTGGGATACCAGAGACACTGCCTCGAAAAAAGTGTGATATTGTAATATATCCACAAGGAATTGCTGGAATTATTCATTCTGAAATAGCCTCAAAAAAATCATGAGAATCAGGAGTCCTAAAATCATAATCAGGAGGTTTCATGTTCGGACTCAAATTTAAGGGCATCCAAAAATTAGTAAGAGGTAAAACCTGAACTTGGGTACCTCATTCATCTCATAATGGGGGTTCCATTCTTACAGGCCCCTCCCCTAGAAGACAACAACCTCAGCTGGGATACCCCAAGCCTTAAAGGCTACAACTGAAGACTTCACTACCCACTGTGTGGGAGAGTTTCTATCAGCTTGACACAGCTAGAGCTACTCTGGAAGTTGGAACCGCGATTGAGAAAATGCTTCCACCAGCCTGGCCTGTGGGCAAACCTGTGGTACGTTTTTTTTTTTTTAATTTTAACTGATGATCAGTGTGAGAGGACCCAGCTCACTGTGAGCAGTGCCCACCCTGGGCTGACGGTCCCGGGAGCTGTAAGACAGCAGGCTGAGCAAACCATGGAGAGTAAGCCAGTAAGCAGCACCCCTCCATGGCCGCTGCATGGGCTCCTGCTTCCAGGTTCCGCCCCCCATTTGATTTCTTGCTCCTGTCCTGATTTTCCTGGATGATGGACTATAAGCCACTGCAAGATAAAATTAACCCTTTCCTCCCCTGAAAGCTTTTGGTAATGGTGCTTTATCAAAACAAAACAAAAACCAACAACACTAAAATACTTAATGAATATTGTCATATAAGGGGGCCCAAAACAGCCTGGTGAGTTGTTTTCCCAATGATAGGGTCCAAAAACTTAAAAACTTCTAGTAGTATAAGTGAATCAACAATTAGTTACATTATTAGCAGGAATTTATTGACTTAGTCTAGCATGCATATAGAATCCCAACTACATTTAATACAGTAATTAAAACATTTTCCACATTTATTCCCACAGAAATAAATGCATTGAAGTCTTTGTCTGTGTCATCTAGACAACACCTTCTTTATAAATACTGTCACTTTTTTTGAGTTGCCTCAAACAATTTGACTAAAGAATATTGTCGAATCCTTCGTCCATTATGTAGAGCCCCCGAAAACAGCATCCCCAAACACGGCTCCTCATCAAGTTGAGGACTTGAAGATTAGAAGGCCTCAGAAACAAGGGCTTTCTGATCGTCTCCTGCCCTGTCATCTCTCTCTCCTGAAGCAAGCTGTGACACTCAAAGAATTCATGGTCTCATGCTCCTTTGCAGATCCTGACTCCAGGAGTCCCTGGCCCACATCGAAAAGGTGCTGCACAGAGACACAAAAAAGGTTCCGAGCAGACAGGCCTGGCTGGGGTTCCCACTGATGGTCCCATGCATTAGGCCACACTCTGTGTCCCATCATACATCTCAAATGGCTGTCTACTCTTCATAGAACTTGAGCATGAACATAGTTCTCAATTGGGTTTTGGGGCCTATATTTCTCAAGTATCTTGTGCCACAGAAAATGTGTGTGTGTGTGTGTGTGTGTGTGTGTGTGTGTGTGTGTGTTCACATGTGTGCGTGTGAAGGCCAGAGACAACCTTATAAATCGTCTCTCAGGTACCATCCACCCTTCTGTCAGACAGCATCTCTCTCCAGCCTATCTGCCACCCCCACCTTCTCAGGGATGGATTTGCAAACATGTAACATCACACCTGGCTTTCTTAGTGTAGGTTCTGAGGACAGAAGCACTTCACTGCCGGCCACTTCCTTGGCCTCCAGCACCTTTTTGAAACAAAGGCCTTGAATTTGCTGACGAAACGGAACGTGACTTTGTACATTGGATCCTGCGTCCACCT